ATACCGCTTTTTCGGTATCGTATGAGTACCATTTTTTTTTTTTCGAGTGCTGTGTGCCCAGATTATCAGGAAGTCAGGCAGCGGATCATAACCCGTCGCCCGGCTTCCGGATTGCCTGGGAAGCTTGTGTTCTAGCGAAAGAACACTGGATTCACTTGACGAGGCTGCCTGTCTTCCTAACCAATCAGGAAGCCGGGGCACTTCAGGAAGCCAGGCTCCTTACCAACAAGTGAAGCTGGCTTCATAGCCAATCAGGAAGCTGGGCGGCATATCATCACCTGGCTTCCTTATTGGCTAGGAAGCCTGGCTTGTTGACCAATCAGGAAGGCGAGTCATTATGTGCCACCCGGCTTCCTGATTGCTTAGGAAGCCAGGCTGCCTAGCAACAAGTGAACCCGACTTCCTAGTCAATCAGTGAGGTGGGTCACAGCCCACCGCGTGGCTTCCTGATTGGAAAGGAAGCCGGCTCCATGCTCCTCTCGGCACTTGTGGTCAGAGGGAGATCTCCCTCTGACAGGAAGTTCCAGTGTCGGAGCATATGGGCGAGTAGGAGTACTCACCCAAATACTTGGTACTGATACTGGTATCGGTGTATCCCTAGTCATGATGTTGGTGCTGATTGGTGTACATTGAGCTGTGCCTGTGCAGCACAGTGTACATTCTCTACACAATGAGCCAGAATAGACTCCTGTGCACGTGCAATAATTATGTCATTCCACCCAGTTATCCCAAACCTGGAAAAAGACCAAGTGGAGAAGCTGGGGAGGAGGAGTCTCTTTAGTTCCGCTTTAAAATGTATCATCCCATTCCTGGTTTTGATGTAGAAGTGATCAGGGTGGCTATAAAGCTGCTCCATTGGTGTTAGAAGTGGAGCTCCTGGATGCTCAGGACCACAACAAGTGTCAGGATGGCTGCTGGGGAGCATGGAGGACCTCTACTCTGTGCCCAGGAAAACAACAGATTGACTGACTACATTTCTGTACTCAATATACTGTAAAAAGGGGAGACATTTAAGTATCTAATAGACCCCTGACCTGTCACCTGGACAATTCCTTCTCATAGCAGACTTCTATCAGAACAGAGGGGTAGGCAATATTTTTGGGATTAAAACTTGGATGCATTGGTGGTAGTTTTAATTGCTTTGTTGTTGCTTCTCAGGTGCACGCAGTTTTGATACCTGACACATTTGGTATACATCTACTTGACAGATGTATGTAACATACATCGCATTGTGTTACCAGTGTCTGTATTCTTGGTCAGAAGTTTGCTGTAAAGCTGTATGACATTGCATCATGTGGCTGCTGATTGCATGCAGATTAGTGTCAGTGTGTGGAATCTATATCTGCCAGATAGTCCGCTGACAAATTGCAGGTGGTGGCAGGTTACCCTAAGTCATGTGGCAGTAGGAAAAGTTATAATGCCAGGATTGTAGCTTGCAGGATGGCTTAGGGAACTCAAAATGTGGGAATCACTTGGCTGATCCATAGCCCTTAGATGGCATGAAAGATTTGTATCTGCCTGGATGTGTTTAGCCAGCTAAATCTGGGCTAGTCTCCCTCCGGTATTATTGCAGCCCGTGCATAGCACAGCTAGTTTTATCCTTCCCAAAGTAAGTTCTCATTCTTCCTCCATCAAACAAGGTCTTCATCCTGGTTATTGAGTCACTGTGGGCATGGCTTCCTTGACAACTGGTGGCAGCAGTGAAAGATTAGTGTGTATGTGTTTTCCAGGTTGTTACCTGTATCCGAATTAGGGAAATACACATCACATTTTTGGAAGCTAGATTACAGACAGATGACAAGATATCAGCATTACATGAAACTACATCCCGCTACTTCACTTCCTCCAAGCATTCTAAGAGATCCTTAAGATTGTTAAGGCCCCACTCACAGGAATCATAACTAAGTTCCTGCTCTCGTCTCAATACTCACAGAGTAATCAATTCAGAGGCCCAGCTCCATTGAAGCAATTAGAGGAGACCTCAAAAGTTAGGCGCCAGCTGTAATTTTTTAGGAGCATTGTCGACTTGGCTCCTTTTGATTTGGCCAGCCCTTGCTTACTGCATTAATACATTACTGTCATCCACACTGCACATTATTGTGTTTTATTGCTGTGGAGCTTTGTGATGCACATGGTCCAGGCATAGTGTGAAGGATGGAGGGCCCCAGACTGAAAGGGGGGGGGGGGTCTGGTAACCTGCAATGTTGGCAGTTACCAGGGCGCTCTTCCTCCTGTCTGGGACCTCCCCCAAGTGGTGGAATGCTAGGGCCCAGATCCCAGATGCAGCTCCAACCGCTGTGACCCTGGTACTTGCGCCACTGTATGAAGGACTACAAAACCCAGCAATGCAGAATACCACCAGCTTTATAGGGCTACAAATAGCTTCGACTGCAGAACTTTCTCCTTGGCGGCCGGGAATCAGGAGGGAGAATTGCTCCAGCTGCCAGCAGTGGATGGTGAACTGCAGAAGCGTGTCCTCAGTGAGTGCCTCCCACACAGCAGGACGTGCTGCCTGGCAGTGCCTGCAGATCGGCGGGCAGAGGGAGTGACAAATTTCTCGGGGGTGGGGCAATTGCCCTGTTGCGCTCACCTTTCATTTTAGCTTAATGTTTGGATGGAATTCTACTTTAAAGTCCACTTCTCCCTTTGTCTGCTCCACAGGATCGAGATGAAAGGCATACAATTCATCCTCATTGCACCAATTTGGCCCAGGCGATTGTGGTACTAGAACATACTCAGACTCCTGGCAGGCTCTCTGTGGGCACTTCTAGACCGCTCAGACCTTCTGTCCCAAGAGCCAGTCCACCATCCTGCTTCTTGGTCACTGGCTTTAATCCAGAAAGCTAGAAAATCGCATTCTCACAAAGTCTACCACCATCATACCCTGAGGGCTTAACTTGCATGGTGCAAGGCTAGGAAATTACATCCCAGGACATACTCCATGGGATGAATCCTGTCTTTTCTCCAGTGTGTCCTGGATCAACATTTGGCCTTGAGCACCATCAAGGGGCAAATCTCAGCCGTAGCTATACTTTTGCAAAGATTGCTTGGCGCACACTCCTTAGTGAAGGCTTTCGCGTAGGGCAGAGGTAGGCAACCTTGGCTCTCCAGCTGTGCTAAAACTACAAATCCCATAAGGCATTGCAAGTCACAGGCATGACTCCCAGAGGCAGAAGCATGATGGGATTTGTCGTTTCAGCACAGCTGGAGAGGTTGCCTACCCCTGGTGTAGGGTGTAGCTCATGTTACTCCCCCGGTATACTACCCAGTGCCAAAGTCACTTTTGCCAGTATCCAATCACCTGAAGGTGGCTGCATGTAAGACAGTTCTGTGCTAAGTTTTGTCTCCTGTGCTTTACTCCAAGAAAATAATTTTACAGATAAGTAAGAAATCTTATCATTGTTGCAGTGCTTCTTCAGAGCAGTAGAGGGAGGAATTTACGAATCCACCTACAAGAATATAGTAGTAAATCTGTCTCACTGCTCCTTTTTAGCATTGCCTTGCTGTGTGAGAGAAGGAATAAATATCCCCCATTGGACTTTCCCACTTTTTGAGAAACCTATTGCTGCATGTTTACCAGTTTTGCTGCAATTTTGTGTCAGAGGTGACATCTGACAGAGAATGTCTGCAGAAGCATTAATATGAGCAAATCTACATTCACACATGTTAGTTGTTACCAATTGTTAAACACTAACTGCTTTATCTGCCACATTTAACCCTTTTGCTGCCACCAACATAAGGTTTACATTGGTGGCAGCGGAGCGTTTAGACAGACTCCCAGCAGCTTTAGGTGTTTTTCAATTGTGAAGCCGCATGTTAGCTTTATAATAGAAACGATTCTGGTGGCTCAGCTGCTGCCAGATTGCTTCTGCAGGCCGCTAAAGTGCTGCCCCCCCCGACACCCTCACCGTGTTTCCCAGGCTCTGCTGCCCCTCCTGTTGAGAGTATGTCGGGTGCCAGCGGGAAGCTGGGAAGGAGAGCAGTGAACTTCTGTTCATCGATCTCCCAGTTCTAAGGGACTGGGAGCGACACGCATTGCATCACTTCCGGTCCATCCGCTGTCATTGCTGGGCTCATGAAGTCAAGCAATAAGCTTTGAAGTGCGATCTGCATTTCAAAGCTTATTTAAAGAGAAAAGGTGAGAGTAGGGGTCTTTTGGACCACCAGTATTACCTTAAACAGGTAATACTCTTATACAATATGCAATCAAATGGGAGGCTTGTAAACCCCCCTATGTGATAGCAGTTAAAGTAAAAAAAAAAAAAAAACAGTTTTAAAAAATAATAAAGAAAATAAATGTAAAAATAATAAAAAACCTTTTTCAAAGTCCCCCGCCGCGAGCGCCTGCACACATTTACGTAAACACACGTCGGGAGCACCTACGTTAGAAAACGACGATCACGCTACACATGTTAGGTATTGCCAATGTAAGAGCAATAATTCTAGTGCCAATATTTACATGTATCTCTAAACTGATGACCTGTGGGGGCTTTTAAATCGCTATCTATGGGCTTTTTGGGGTACTGATATTTGTTACCGTTTCACAGACGCACACAATTTTTAACCTGGGCATATTGGGTATCTATTTACTCGTCATAACCTCATCTTTTATGTTTTACAAAAATAAATGGTATTTTATTGTGTTTTGGGGCACTAAAATTAACTTAAGTGCATTTTTAAAAAAAATTTGGGGTTTGATAAGGAGTTGCGCCAATATCGTGCAACATAAAAATTTGCAACTGCCACATTTTTATTCTTTAGGGTCTTGGCTTTTAGAAAAAAATATAGTGTTTGGGGGTTTGAAGTGATTTTCAGGCCTAAAATGTGAATTATAACGTGTGCAACAAAAATAAAGGAAACAAAAAAAAAAGGCCTTGGCTGCGAAAGGTTAAGACCAATTTCAACATTTGCTAAAATATCTACAGTCCTGAAAATAAAGGATCTTCTACTATTGATATATCAATCTACTTTACAGGGTCTTCCAGCATTGTGACTTATAAATGGCATCCAATTTGAATGACGTTGTGGTCACAGGTAAGATTCTTTTTCGTTTTCTTGCCACATTGTAGCTTAAACACGTTATGAAGCCCAGGCAAGGGCATGTTGGCATTGCTAGAATTATAGTTAAATTACTATCTGTGATGGACTGAACCGTCACTGGGGCTGCTGGAGGAGCCTGAGGGCTAGCCTCCTTCCTAGAGACTATGGACCAATCCCTATTTGCCCTGTTTCGAGTCCTCATTTGCATGGCCAAGAGGACCTAGGTGAGGACTGGAGGATACTTTGCAGTTGACCAATAGGAAGGTGGTCGGTTGGGCCACCTTCAAACTGATGTTTATAAAAGTGTGTGTGTGCATCCAATAAAGCAGATTCCTGTTTGAACTTACATGCAGCCTGCCTGGTGTTTGTTGTGAGCCATCACCATTGGATACGAACGGCATAGAGCTGTAGTTCGAATCCCAAATTATCGGATGTCCGAAATATCAGACGCTGCGGTCTGAAATCTAAGGAGTGCCGGGAGAGTGGACCGAGCGAGCAAGGGGCTCGTTACATTGGTGGCAAGCGGTGGGATCTGCTCTCCAGTTACGGGGACACTCCAAACCACCACAGGGAAGGACCAGCTATGCAGCCTGCAAGAGAGACACGCTGAAAGACCTACTTGAGAGCCGAGGAGGGACCGCTGGGACAAAGAACAAGGCCACCCTGATCAGTGAGCTAGCCGACATGGATCAGAGGGATAGTGATGCTGGACCCCAGTCAGTTGGAGACTTGTTTCAGCAACGGGTTCGACAGCGGTTGACATTATATGGTGCCAACCCATCAGAGACCGCCATACAGAATGCCATTAGAGGCATCCAGCTGCAGGATGAGCGACAAGCGAGAGAACTAGAGCGGCAATATGAGTGGAGAATGGCGCAACTACGGCAATCGGAGACAACACCTAGGGATACAGCACCTTTCCGTAAGTCAGTTGGAGACTTGTTTCAGCAACGGGTTCGACAGCGGTTGACATTATATGGTGCCAACCCATCAGAGACCACCATACGGAATGCCATTAGAGACATCCAGCAGCAGGATGAGCGACAAGAGAGAGAACTAGAGCTGCAACATGAGTGGAGACTGGCGCAACTACGGCAATCAGAGACAACACCTAGAGATACAGCGCCTTTCCGTAAGTTGCCCTTTTGGGCGTTCAAACTATTTAAGATGGAAATCCAGGGAGAGGGGGCAGACGGGCTCTCTCCCCAGCGGCAGAGGGAGTTCCAGGGAGAGGAGGCAGACGGCCTCTCTCCCCAGCGGCAGAGGGGGTCATATTTTGGAGCTAACAATCGGACCCTCTCCCCAGCAGCAGAGGGAGTTCCAGGGAGAGGAGGCAGCCGGCCTCTCTCCCCAGCGGCAGAGGGAGTTCCAGGGAGAGGAGGCAGCCGGCCTCTCTCCCCAGCGGCAGACGGAGTTCCAGGGAGAGGAGGCAGACGGCCTCTATCCCCAGCGGCAGAGGGAGTTCAAGGGAGAGGAGGCAGACGGCCTCTCTCCCCAGCGGCAGCGGGAGCTCCAGGGAGAGGAGGCAGAAGG